ATGATAATTTTGCGGAGAATTTTAGTAAACTATTTCACCCTATGTGGGGTGTGTGATAGACTTACCTCCACGTGGTGCACTCTGGGCAACGTATACTCATACGGAAAAAAGTCTATTACCTGGCAGTTGACTTCAAACTACCATGACCCCACTGTATGTCATATTCGACTACTTTCACAGTACTCATCCCACCTTTTTCCACCTTATCTACCTTCGTCTTTGATACACTCTTCTGTCCCCCCCCCCTCTTGAATTTTTTTCACTTTGATGTTCCTTCCCCTCTGTGAAGACTGAAGTCAGCTAAAGGGCTAATGATAACAATCAAAACGCCTGCCATTTGATATAATAATAATTTCACCCTATGTAAAGTTAAAATAAGCTAGAGGGGGGGGGAGAAGGTAGACGTGGAGATTTGAGGTAATGACTGCGAAGATCTGGTGTGTGTGTGTGTGTGTGCCGATTGGCAAAAGATGAAGTGACTCATTCACCACCTTATGCCAATAAAATTATATGAATTGACCTCATCGTTTTCCTTTGACAATCATGAGCTGGGGGGGGGCCACATCAGAACTTAAAATAAAAGGCAAAATCAGAGAGATATATGCCGGAATGATAATGTGGAACTAGAGAAATACTGCGTCGAGAATATAATTGGTGTATTGAAAGCACCATGTCTTCCAAATGAAGTCACGAGCCTTAAAAGAGAAAGCTACGCGTGTAACGTGTGACAGGTGACATGGAGTAACTGAATAAATTTGTAAAGGGAATACACTATCATGAATACCGTGGTGTATGGTGAAAATGCGTTAACAAGCAACATAAAATTTAATACCAACTAGTAGAACTATTACGGCTAATGGAGGACGACTGGATAAAACTTTCACGAAGGAAATTTTGACGTCGAGTCAAATAAGGGCCTCCAGCAGTGATGTCCATAAACTATGAGACCAACTCCAGCAAATTGTTGTTCGATCTTCAACTGAATGATACGCCTACATACGTGTGGCAAATAAAAACAATTCATTCTATTATCGAAATTGTTGGAAGGTGACATATCGAGTTAGGGTAATATGTTGCATAAACAGGAGCATTTAACCTCACCTAATGTCATGAATTACCACGCTAATTGCCATCTCCAACTATCAGCACTCTTAGACGAACTCAGCTACCCCGCACATTGCTGTACTAAAAACCAATGGAATACGACAAAATATTACCCAAAATTCGTGGTAGAGTCAGAACTGTAATGGCCCAACTCAGCAAAATTAGAATTGTTTTCCCTAATAACAGAATTTGTTACAAGAACTTTAAGTTTCATACAGTATAACGATGGCTTATTGCTCCAAGAAGTGTTAATGCTTAAAAATCATGGAATCTATTTTATATTCCAGTATTCAAAACTGGGGTCATATAAGATAAAGCGATTCTGTAGCCTTATAAGGGAAAATAGAGCCATTACCCGATCGATCAAAGTTGGTCTACAAAAGCGGATATACTATTCAGGCACTCATGAACTTAATAACCTAAAGTGGTGTAAATTAAGGCAACCCAGAAAACATATATTCCATAATAAACACGCAGTAGCCTCCAACCATCAAAATAACTACTCACAAAAGATTTGCAATCGCTCAAGGTAAGAAACTCGAATCCCTTCTAGACCGCGAGGTAAAAGTGCCCCTATGTGAAAATAATTTCAAACCAGACAAAGAAGTGATTAATTCATTATGCATACGAAGTATAGGATTTTCCGAATTTCTCTTTTCGCAGCATGTTGGAATGCAAAATTAAACTTATGAAGGCATTGCAGACAAGCACACAAGTACATCGGCATCGAGATAAGACGATCGGACGCGTCTTCATAAATTACCCCACACTGTTGTGCTGTTGCATGAAATCTTAATCCAACTTCTTCAATCTTCTCTAGAACTAAGTCAATAACTTTTAAACACCCCCCACCTCATGTTGATAGAAGGAAGACATCCTGGAGTCATTCTTATAAGAAGCGCACATTCTATCTCTCTTGTTAGCAAGAATTAACCCTATCCATTGGCTGTGAATCATAAGGTAGAAATTTATCTTCTGACAATCAACATGAACGTTGACTGCAACACGACCGATGCAAAAATGAGGATCGAGTAAATTTACTCACAAGTCAAAAGAGATGCAATCCTCCAGCGAATGGGAATATCTTGTTCAACCGGACAATTCATTGCACCGGCCCAGACAAATGTCAAACGAGCAGGAGGATTGCCGACTTTCGGGAGCGACTGGTTTTCAGAGGAGCAGGAAGAGGAATCGATCTTCTCCCAAGAGGAGTCTTTGTGGAGATGCTTTAAACTACCGAAAAAGTTGTTTTTGCGGTTTTGATGTTTGGAAGTAAAGAGTCTACGTATCTTGTTATTCAGGATAAGAGTGGATGGTATTTGCTATAAATAGGTAACGATTTACATTCCAAATCTGCATACATCTTTAAGCAAATATATAACTAGTAGGAGATTCAAAATCGTACCAGAGAAAGCTGATCGATAGCACTAGCGTCGTAATCTGAAATGGGAAAAAGGCAGATAGTATTGAGCGTTGCTTAAGCCAGACGATTTCTGAAGTTTGAATTTAGGAACTTTGAAAGAGTGTAGTGAAATATACTCATCAAATAGGACAAATTAGAATTCGATTCGATCGTGAAACGTTGTATTTTCGCTGCGTGAAATGGAAATTCCTATAATATGTCAATTATTTTAACTAAACAACCACCAATTTCGGAATGAAATAGCCTAGAAATAACAAAACAAAATATCAAATCAATGTACAATAGGGACAAGTTCGCAAATTGAGAAATCTACAACAACTATTGTATGCGTTCTTGTTATTAAAGTCAATGACAGCATTGCTAACAAAGCGAAATTTCTTTTACACAGCGCTGGAGATAAGCTTTTATCAAGACCATGAAGGTTGAACAAGGTAATCATATTCACAGTGTACATTTAATGACAAACGTTCATTACAAAGAAGGTAAGAAATATTTCGAACCAATAGAAAGCATGCTATAGATAAGTAAGTAGAGTACCAATTAAACAATAAACCTTTGAGAGACTTTTCATAAGAAAAGGTAAAATATTTATAACTTTACCCTCAGGAATGCTCAAACGCTCTAGGTTGTCATTATCTGTGTGATCGATACTTAAATTTGTCAACTGAAGAACCCGACCTATCAATTGGATAACCTCTTCCTGTGAAGGACACAATGGAAGAAGGGGCCCCTCTTGGTCTCCAGAAGTGCCAACCTTGAGTTCATCGTCAAAAGTTGGAAGAATAAGGAGATCCAGTGCAAACCAAGATTGTCCACCAGGAGTTTCAGGAGTAATTCCACTACGATAGATCAGACGATTTGTGTGAAGATCCAAACCGAATACCTTTAATCAAATAAAGTCAGATGATATAAACATTCGGAATGGGTCAATAGAGAGATTAATTAATTTAGCTTACTTTGTTATTTCATAGAATTATTTGTTACAATGTTACCCGCCTCTGGCCAAAAATACTAATTAAAATCTTTTGTTATTTGATGCGTCATTTTGATATATTTATCAACTGACCGCAAGTTCACTTTTCCAGATACCTGGATTTCACCTTCTATCAAGTCAAAAAACATAGTAGACACGTTTTGACTCTCGGGATTAATATATTTATTGATATCAAATGGCAGGCGTCTTGATGGTTATCATTAACCCTTTAGTTGACCTCAAACTTCACAGAGGAGAAGGAACATCAAGTTGAAAAAAATTCGAGAGGGGGAGGGGGAACAGAAGAGTGTTTCAAAGATGTAAGAGACAAACACAAAGGTAGAACAAAGGTGAGGTGAGTACTGTGAAAGGGGTCGAATATGACATACAGTGGGGTTATGGAAGTTTGAAGTCAGAGGTCAACTGCCAGTTAATAGACTTTTTTGACGTATGAATATACGTTGCCCAGGGTGCACCACGTGGAGGTGCATGGCCAGCAGTCTGTCAAAGCAAACCAGTCTTGAACTAAGCCAATGCGCAAGATAAACTTAAGATATTTCCGTTTTAGCAGCTGTAGAAGCTACG